TTCAGCTTAGGTAATAGCTTCTTAGATACAATACCAAAAGCACAAGAAACAACAGAAAAAAAAAACAGATAAATTGGACTTGATCAAAATTAAAAACATTTGTGTTTAAACAATATTCCCCATGAAAGTGAAAGGATAGTGTATGAAGTGGGAGAAAATATTTGTAAGTCATATATCTGATAAGGATTAGTATAGAGAATATGAACTGAACACTCACAACTCGAAGAACAAATGAACATTTACAAAGTGTCTAAATTCTCTGAATAGGCATTTCTCCAAATAAGATATTTGAATTGTCAATAAGCACATAAAAAGAGTTAAAATCGTTAGCTGTGAGAGAAATGCAGATCAAGACTTTCATTACAGTGACTATAATCAAAATCACTGATGGGTGGGAGGGGGGACTGGGATGGGGAGTACATGTAAATCCATGGCTAATTCATATCAATGTATAACAAAAACTACTGTAATGATGTAAAGTAATTAGCCTCCAACTAATAAAAATTAAAAAAAAAATTAAAAAAAAAATCACTGATGTGACAAGTGTTTGTCAGGATATGGAGAAACTGGAATCCTTTTACACTGATGGTTGGATTGTAAAGTGATACGACCACTTCAGAAAAAAAAAAAAATTGGTATTTCCTCAAAACTTTAAGCATAGAATCACAATAGGAACTGGAAATATACTCCAGGATATATAGCCAAGAGATATGAAAAAAGTATTTCCACACATAAATTTGTATATCAGTGTTCATAACAGCACTATTCATAATAGACAATGTGGAAACAACCCAAATGTTTATCAACTAATGAATGGATAAACAATCAATGCTATATATACACAATGGAATATCATAGAACAATGCAAAAGAAGGAATTATTGATACATATTATAAAATGGACCTTGAAAACATTATGCTACCTGAAAGAAGCCAGTTACAAAAATCCATCATATTGCATTATTCCATTTATAATAATATTTAGAATAGGTGCATCCATAGAGAGAGAAAGTTTGATGATTGTCTCGTGCTGGGATGGGAGATTTGGTGTGCTAATGAGTATGTAGTTTATTTTTGAAGTAATGAAATATTCTAAAATTAGATTGATACTGCTTTAACACATCTGTGAATATATTAAAAACTATTTAATTGTATATTTTTGAAGTGTGACCACTGTACTATGTGAATTATATCTCAATAAAGTTATTTAAAATTATCCATGCTAACTACAAGGGCTTCCTTAGTGGCTCAGTCAATAAAGAATCTGCCTGCAATGCAGGAGACATGAATTTGATTCCTGGGTTGGGAAGATCGCCAGAAGAAGGAAATGGCAACCCACTCCAGTATTCTTGCTTGGAAAACCCCTGGACAGAGGAGCCTGGTTGGCTACAGTCCATGAGGTTTCAAAAGAGTCAGACACAACTAAATATGCTAACTACATCTATTCAACAAAGATTACTATTACTTTTTAAAAGCTGAATATTGCCTGAGAGTTATTTTAGCAAAGTCATTCAATCTTACTGGCACTCCCTTTCCGCAGGTCAAAATACCATTTGTATTGGTTCAGAAATGATGTTTACAGTTTTTACAGCCATTAAATTTCCATGTTTACTTTAAAAATGCACTTAAACCTATAAACACTGAATAAATTTGGAGGATGCTATCAAAGTACTTCTACTGTTAGGGATACATTGTACTTATTTAGTACCTTTTAAAGAAAGCTCAAAATGTTCTAACTCTATTAACTTCTAAGTTGCTATGATGTCCATGAGAGTTGAGAAGACAGTTAATTATTAAGTAATAATAATTGCAACAAACCTAAATTTATATCATTTGTCTTCCAATATCTTCACATAAGTTATCATCAATTATTAATCTGCTATCAACATAGCACTCAACAAAAATAGATGTACTGGCATGAACATAATATGGAAAATGAATGGCAGCTTGGAGCCCAATACGGTTGCAATCTAGCCCCAAAGGAATGGGGTCAGCCTGAAATAGAGCTGGGCTATATAATGTGGTATTCCACAGTGACTCTAAAGCAGAGCCAATTTCAACTTCCTAGCTTCCTCATGTATTCCTCAATTTGTATTCAGCCACCTATATAGCCTGGAACTAGACTATACTCCAGGAATAGAACCTCAGCTTGAAGATACTTGGCACAACAGAGAAAAGAGACAGACAACTCTGTCATATAGTCCCAATGTCAGAAACTTAGAAAATTGCTTGCTTGCTTATACTTTCATAGCTAGAAAGCTGACAAGATGGTCACTGGTTTTATCTTTCTAAGTCCTGATCTACTAATAATACAGGTAGGTAATAGAATATCATCAAAATCTTGGATAACTACCATGGGCTGAACGTTTGTATCCCAGCTCAATTCACATGCTGAAATCTAATCCCCAGGGTGCTGGTATTTCAAAGTGGGGCATTTGGGAGATGATTAGGTCATGAGAATGGAGCCCTCAAAAATGGGACTAGTTTCCTTACAAAAGAGACCCCAGAGAGCTCCCTTGGCACTTCTAACACGTGAGAAGTCAGTGAAAAGATAGCTATCTATGAATTAAGAAGCAGGCACTCACCAGACACTAAATCAGCCAGCAGCTTGATCTGGGGCTTCCAAGACTCCAGAACTATTAGAAATAAATGTTTGTTGGGTTTTAAGTCACCCTGTCTATGATATTTTTGTACTAGGAACCCAAATGGATTGCCATTAATCTTCATGGACTGCACTTGCCCAGGCTGCCTTGGTTCCCTAAGATCTCCATTAATTAAAATAAAGGTGGGACATAAAAATAATGTGTCAGTTATACTTCAATTCTGCAAACACTGTCTACCATACTGTCTCAGGTCAAGTTGGAGGAGGTCTGTTATAATATAAATAGAAATATATAGGCTTTTAATACATAGATTATGGTGAAGTTGAGAGCTGATTTTCAATATTCTTTCAGTTATTTATTTCTCAACCACCTTGTGATAACTGTGGGCTGTGCAATATTTTACTTGAAATGGAATGTAAAGAAGACCTGGACTAGCAGAGGTTCATTAACTTTCCAACCATGATGTAACAAGTATAAGAAAGTTTATTTGCCAGGAATGTACAAGGATCCTTGCACAGATTGTCATTTCATATACAGCATTCCTGTGAAACAGGTATTATTAAATGCATTATACAAATGAAGAAACTGTTACACAGAGAGTTTATGACACTTGTCTGAGGGCACACAAGTAGAAAGTAGCAGAGCCTAGATTTGAATCCAGGTCTGTCTGGTTCTAAATCCATGTCCTAATTTTTGTCAGATTGTCTTTCTTTAAAGAGATTACTTTTCAAAAAAAAATGTAGCTAAGTTTTATTCCATTTAAAAGTTACTTTCATATAAAATAAACTTAATTTCTTTAAACTTTCACTCAGGAAAAAAGATAATGACTATAAAAATGTAAAACCATAGGAGCAATCAGTTTGAAAAAAAACTAAAAATTAAACTCTGCACTCTCAAGCCTCCAAATACTCTATATTGTTAGGCTGTATGGTAAAGTAGAAAAAAGAAACCCCACATGATGCATTTCTGAGTTGGAATCTTGGTTCTGTCCTGTATTGGCTGTATGATTCTAGACATGATATTAAAATGTGGATAAAATGCTTATATGATCAGACTGCCATGAAGATTAAATTAGATGAAGTATACAAATTTACTGATGGTGCCTAGTACATGCAAGGTCCTCAACAATTCATAAATGCTATTGTTATGATTGTTAGGAGCAACACTGAGGGGATGAAGAAGTACAAAAGAGTTAGGTGAATGAAAGGGGGCATTGTGGAGGATCCTACAGGTATGGTTCAATGTTACTTTAATCATGCCTTAGGAAAGAACAAACATAGAAAAATGAAAAGATCCTTAATAAGAAATGTCTACTAATGATGATGATGGAGTAGTCTTCTGTTAGAGGTAGGTGCCAGAAGGATACTTCCTATACTCTTTTATTGCTTTTCATTTTGTAGCAGGGAGCTATAAGATAAAAGGAGTCAAGAGAAGTTGGTTCCTTATATTGGTTAAGAATAGCCTGGAAGCATTTTAAATACAGATAAAAAATACTGTGTTTGAAAATTAAAGGGTCTAGCTAGTAGCAAGAAAAAATAGCAAACATTCCTGCCCTGCTATTCAAATTCTCTGAAGCAGATTTTTCAGAGAGAAGATCTATGGCCTTAAGAGATATTCTGAAGTAGGTTTATACCTCACTGTTGAGATTATTTGAAGCATATATAAATAACTGAATATGTGAAACAGTAAAGAAATAATGCCTATTTTTGCACAGGTCTAAAATTGTTTTAATTCTCACTCTGAACTTATCTCTTCCTTATAAAACAACACAGTATTGTAAGTATCCTCCAATTAAAAATAAATTTAAAACAATAAAAAGTAAATGTTTTTAAAAAGACAGTTTGATTAATGCTGCACTTAATGTGTTAATAAAGCATTTACTCAAAAAAAATGGCTGAGTTATTGCAGGCTCTGACTTCTCAACCATTGTCACCTAGAGCAATGATTGACTTGCCTGGCTACGTACCCAGGGAAGGCACCACTCATCTAGTGACATCTTCCAAAACTGCAAGTAAAAACCATAGCAAGAATTATCTATGTTCAAGAGGATGCATCTAGACAATTTAGTCCTATTTTAGTGAGGAGAAATGCCATGCTTCCCATAAGGCTATTGTTGCCTGGACCAGATAATTTTAAATGTTAGGAGAAGGTTGCTATGTTGTAGCAATTATTAACTTCCATGAAAAAAAAAAAGGACTCATCATTTTTAAACATGACAAAGAAAGCATAAAATTCTTTAAAGAGTTGACCCCCAAACTGCAATTTAGAAGAAAAAAATATTCAAATTACTTCAAAATATGAGTTACGTGACCCAGGTATCAAGTCTAGTTGATTACCAACACAATTTTTATACCAACAAATTTGTATGAAACCTTTATAAAACAAACTTACACATTACCTGGTAATTGTTTTGGTTTTGTGATAACCTCAATTGGTTTGATGATGCGAAATGTGAAGAAAAATTACTTCGTGATGGATTTGTATTACTGTACATTGCAGTAGACGCTGTATGTAATGAGGTCCGTGGTGTCAAATGGTATTCTCTGTTTTGATACAGTACATTGTCTGACAAGTCTCTAATATTCACCATTTGTGAATTTGGCATATTTCTTCCTTGTCCAGGCAAAGTTGTACTTTGGTTCTCAGCTCGAAGGGAACTGCCACTTTCATAAAATCTTGAGTAGCTTGGTATCTGTGCTCCCATCAATGCCAATTCTTCCTCTCTGGCATATTCATCATCAACATCTCCAGTCTCCATTGCAATGGACAAACAAGTTCCTTCTGTTGAATTAGGAGGCTTCTGTGGGGCATTTCCTCCCAGAATTCTCTGTGGGTAATCACTAACTGCCAGTGAAAATACTTCACGGATTTCCAAATTTTGTGTTCTGCAGTAAGGGTCTCTAACTGATGATTTTTGCCCACATAAGTTGTGTGATGCTAGACCTGTGTGTTCAGGCTTATATGACCTTTGAATTCCAACTGGTTCAATTTTGCAAGGTCGGTGGCACACAGATGGCTTTTGAGGTACCGTCATCTCAGAGGCTTGCACTGAAGAGCTTCCATAGTTTTTCTTTGTGTGATTGTATACAGAATTTCCAGCATTTAGCACACTTGTCTGTCTTGACAAAATAATTGTTTTTTCACCTAAGAGTAAAGAGGCATTTTTACAGTGTGCTACTTGTCTTTGAACAGGAATGTGCAACTGAAACTCAGTATCATTTTTACTGGCTGTTTTCTGGATAGGGATTTTATGTGCTTCTGTAATTTGTGTATTTGAATGCTTGGTTGTCTCTTGTCTACTTGATGAACTGGCTGGACTGTATATACCAGTTATGATGACATCATTATTGGGCGATGTCCAAGAAGACTGTTGACTTGAGGGTGAAGCAATATTAACCACATTTCTGACTGTAACATCTGGAGCTGCCAAAGAAGTACCAGAAACAGTTCCTGTTGTTGTTGCTCCTGATTCAGAATTCTTACTACTCATTTTTCTTCTTTTATTGCCAACCCACGTCTGGAAGGATAAAAAATATATATATATATTATGGAAAAGTTCTTAATAGAAAATAAGAAAATCAATTTCTATGTGATAAATTATATTTTCATTTGTCATAAATCAAGGCCTATACAAATTTAAAGGAAAAATATATAGTAAAAGAAAAAGCAAAATATAAGATCAGAGACCATCAGGAACCAGCACATAATAAATATGTAGAAACATTGATGTGAATTGTTTGTGAAAGTTGCTCTGTTGTGTCTAACTCTTTGTGATCCTGTGGACTATACAGTCCATTAAATTCTCCAGGCCAGGATACTGGAGTGGGTAGCCTTTCCCTTCTCCAGGGGATCTTCCCAATCTAGGGATTGAGCCCAAGTGTGCTGCATTGCAGGCAGATTCTTCACCAGCCGAGGCACAGGGAAGCCCAAGAATGCTGGAGTGGGCAGTCTATCCCTTCTCCAGTGGATCTTCCCAACCCGGGAATCAAACCCAGGTTTCCTGCACTGCAGGCGGATTCTTTAACAACTGAGCTATCAGGGAAGCCCCAGAAACTTTGATAGAATAGTATTATTGCTTTTCTCCTCAAAATCCAGACAATTAATCTGTAGCAAGAACTTCTGTTCTATGAATATATCATAACTTGCTTAATTTAATATTGTTAGGAATTTAGATTACTTTTAAAATATTCCTATTATAAGCCATATTGAAATACACTATTGTACATGCATCATTGTTCTATTGGTCCATTAGAATGCCATCCTAGAAGGAAAATTGCTTGACTTTTTGACATTTTCAATTTACCCTCCAATGTATAAAAGTACTGGTTTCCCCACACCTCAACAACACTTTGCATTATCCTTCTGTAGTATCTATAAGCCCAGGAGTTAAGAAAAGGTATATAATTGCTGTTTAGATTTTAGTTTCTATGGTTACTTTCATTGAATTTCTTAAACATTACCTATACCAGTTAAAAAAAACCTTAATTTTTATATTGGGGTGTTTGTCATTTTTAATTGATTTATAACAGCAATTTTCTACTAGAGTTGGCAGCACTTTGTCACAATTTGCAAAAACTTTTCCAGTTTGTCATTAATTTATGGTAGCTATTTTCTTTTTTATGCTTTTATCTACTTACTGAATTTTATACACTGAATATATATTATTTTTGTTTTCTTTTAGCCTTTCTTTTTTCTTTCTTTTTTTGGCCACCTTATTTATTTTTCAATTGAAGGATAATTGCTTTACATAATTTTGCTGTTTTCTGTCAAACATCAACAAGAATCAGCCATGGATATAAACAGAAAAATCAATAAAAATAATACCAGTGGTTGGCATTTAGGATTTGATTACAAAATACATACTTTTATATAAGTATTATAACAATCTTTGTATTATTACACTGAATCATTTTTCCTTTTAAAATGTACAATAAATATTATGTTCCACAAAACAATCACTAAAATTTATAATTATTTTAAAATGCATATCATCTTATAAACTACTAAAATACATTAATCTATTTAAGAACTTCAAAAAATAAATAAGTGAAAACATTAAATGGCCTAGCCTTGCACAAACGTGGTGCTAGGTGTATTTGGTTAATTTAATGGGATGTACTCTTGAAGACTGCACAAATCATCCAATTTTCAACGTATATTTTATATTGTATACAACATCAGACGTTGTAAAACTATAAATAAAAGCTAACACTGAATTCCATTATGTGTTTATATATATATATACTACTTTGCTAGACATAATTTTTCTAATTTTATAAATGAAGAAACTGAGAATCAGAAATATTAAGTAGCTTGTAGAAGGATCTCCTGACCAGTTACTGGCAGAGCAAGGAATCAAAATCAATTTAATTTTAACCTCAACGAACATTATCCTTTCTCTATGGTGAGAAACTCCTGAAGTGGAGTTGGCCATTTCTGTGGGTCATTTTAATTTTATAATTAGTACTTATCTAATAATATGTTCCAGAAACAGAGGTGCTCGCTCCATTTTGCTTCACAAGAGGCTGTGGGAATGTAAAACTCACTTTTATGTAGTTTACTAAAGAGTAGAAGTGAGGATTACAAGCAGAGAGACAAATGAATATAAATGTCACAAGAGAAGGAGGTAGGGGGAAAATTACAAGATTTTAAAGTATATACTCAAGAGTAATGTTTAAAAAGAAATGTTTGTGAATAAGTATAATTTAAATTTATTGTTCAAAAAGGTGAATATTACATATACTCAAAATAATTCACTGTGTTATGACTTTTCAAATAAGAAGAATATGCACAGGAAGCATGATGCTTTGTAATGTTAAAATTAAAAATTTTTCAGTGGGAAAGCATAGTGAATTGATAAAATTTGAACTCAAGATCTACTACATCTGGAGGGCAGCTCTGGGCAAGATTTCTAAGAAAACAAACAACCTATCATTTTCCCATCATAGTATCTATCTTAACACAAGAATTTTAAGAGCAATATTATTACATTGCAAATTTATGGCTTCCTTTAATAGTTTTATAGTTCACATACGTAATTACTTAAATAGTTTACTAGATATTTATATCATGTACCCATGAAAAGCAAAATGCAATAGAATATCAAATGAATATGAAACTCAGCTGTCTAACAATCTCACTTGTTCAGAATGCAGCCAATACAGATGTCACAAGATCCATGTACTTTACTGAAAGGAAAATCCTTGATCTTAAAACACTTAATCTTATTTTGCACATAATTTTACCAAACCTGGTATCCTAATCTATAGTAAATCAGAAATAACAAAACAAGAGGGGCATTGGTAATAGTGATTGCTGTTGAAAGCACCTTGATAGCACTAAAACTAAGAATTTTCATTAAATATTACTTGCTAAAAAGAAGAAAGGAAAATCATAAGAGAACTGATGTGAGAAATCGTTAAATGTCTGGAGTTCTTTAGTAAAGGAGAAAATCATCTCATATATCTTACCATGTTATAAGCATCATTATTTTATAGCACAGTATAGTAATAGATTTCCACAGTAAAACTCTTGAGTCAAAAAGTAAAGATTCAGTTATTTTCAATAGTTTCTATTCAAATAAAGTAGGAAAGTATATAGTTAAGAATTACTTTATATTAAAATGTTGAAAATAAAGAGATTTCATTACCTAAGGGTTCCCAATAACAGAATTAAATTTTACTAAAAGTCATTCAGCCACAGGATCCAAAATTGACCAATGCATATAGAGTATAAAAGATTCTCATTCCAAAAGTTTCATTGGTGAGAGGAAAAAAAAATGGGTTAATCAAAATTGATATGATGAACATTTGGGGTTTGGAACTAATAAAGTGATACTACATAGAAAAAAAGAAAGGTAATGAACTTGGGTAACCTATCCTTAGTGTCCATAAAATTATTTTTCAGTCAACTTTTTAGAAATTCAACGTCTCCAAACTTTTCCTTTTTCTATACTTCCTTCTTTTTTTTTCCTGTTCTTTTACCCCACAATATATATAGATATATAGATATACTGTGCTTAGTCACTCAGTCATGTCTGACTCTTTGCGACCCCCATGAACTGTAGCCCACCAGGCTCCTCTGTCCATGGGATTCTCCAGGCAAGAATACTGGAGTGCATTGTCATGTCCTCCTCCAGGGGATCTTCCCAACCTCGGGATCAAACCCAGGTCTCCCGTACTGCAGGCAGATTCTTTACCATCTGAGCTATCAAGGAAGCCCAAGCATACTGAAGTGGGTAGCCTATCCCTTCTTCAGAGAATCTTCCCAACCCAGGGATTGAATTGGGGTTTCCTGCATTGTAGGCGAATTATTTACCAGCTGAGCTACCAAGAAAGCATATATATATGTATATATATATACATATATATATATATATATATTGCTTTAGCCTTTTAAGTTCTTTACACATTGGGATTAAGTTCTTAGTACAGTGAGATTTCAGTTCTTTTGAGTAAAAGCACAACAAGTACTATACTAAAATAATAAGGGAGGATCTCCTTCAAGTAGAATATGTAGACCTATATCAAAATATCAGAGGCAGGGGAGGTTGTGGAATAGTGAGTCTATAAACAACTCACTTCTCCTCTGGCTAAAAAGTCACCAAAGTTGTGCTGAAATTTAGATTAGGAAGATGGAATTTCTGTAGAATTTACACTCTCCTAGAACAGAGAGAATGAATCCATTTTACACAATTCCATATAACTTGCATTATATGGAATTATATGGAATGCAAACTTGCATTCTAGAAAGTTCCTTTCTTTCATTTTCATTATTTATTATAGATTTCACACCATTTGGAGCATAAATATAAGCCTTTGTATTTCAACACTCTCAATACTCAAATACAGTCAAATAAGTCATTAGCAGGAAGATTGTAATTGAAAATTGGAAATATGAAAGGTCCACAAAGTAGCTGCCTAAGAAGACTTTTCACTTTAAAATAATGGTAAAATAAGAGATAAGAAAAGAAAGAAGTTATTGCAGGAAAAAAAAAAACATGAGTTTTTACTTATAAAATAGAAATCTCATCAGCTTGAAATATTACATATTTAAATTTTTTCCTAAGGCAATTAGTTTTTTTTTTTTTCTCAAATTTACCAAAGGGATTGCAAATAGGTAATTTAGAGCTAGCAGTTGGAGACATTTCTAGTTCTTACACAAATCTGAGTATGATCTCAGCACAGATAGCCTGGATATCAGCGCCCCCCCCCCCCACTAGAATTAGTGAAAAAATTCCCTATATGAAGGTAAATATATCCTTCAGTCAAAAAAATAGATTTTCCAAAGAATTCTTATCAAGGTATTTTATCTTTGGGGGTCTTTGAATGTTTCTTCAACAGAAAAATAAACTTAGAGTCCTTTCTGTTACCAAATTAGCCTAATGAATGACAAAGTTGGGGAAGTTGCTACTCTTTGAATCCCTAAGTTTTCAAACCAGCAGGATTTCCAGCATTTTCAGACAACCATAAAAGGACCTATATTCTCACTATGAAATCTGTGACTAGTTCTGTTACATTTATCTCTTGCCTCCTCTCTGTCACCTTCTCACTGCCTTTCCCAAATGTGTAGCAACTCTGATTTTTAATAGCTGAATAACTATGATTGTAAAAAAAGGATTTTTTTTTCCCTAGGGATTTTCTGTCCCTTACCTTGTAATCCATTAAAATGCATACATTTTACTTAGAAGATGTGGCATTTATAAAAGACCACGTTTTCCTAAAAAGACATAAATACTAAAGTCATAAGTGCCTGATGAAAAAATTTAAATGCATCAAGAAAATATGCAAGGTCCCTTGGTAAATGCATGTTTTACTGATATCAATTTGGAGGGTTATATCTATATTAGTTCTAGGTATAAACAAAGCATGAGATCAACAACTAATCCTAAAGGTACCTATAAGTAGAAAGGACTGGGATTTTTTTTTAAAGATATTTTAAAAATGAAAAATTTTAGTGCTTTCAAGCTATTTGGAGAAAAAATACATATTAAAGAATTGTGTTTATTAAAAATAGTAATTTTATACAAGGGAAATTAAGCTATTTATAAAGTTAGTGACTTCATATCCTGATAGTTTCTCTCATATTAAGCAATTATTCCTTGCAATAAAAAGTATTAAATTCAAGAGTTTAAGACCTGAATACTTACCCTGACTACACTGAAGTCCAGCTTAGTCTCCTGTGCACACTGTAATATGAGCTGAAAGCAATTTTTACTTTGATTTGTCATTCCATTTTCATAATAACGCTGTAAAATCCTTTGTTGCTCTACAGTAAATACAGAACGTAGATTCATCTAAAAATAAAAGAAGATACTCTGAAAATTGGAATAAAAGATGGGTATGTGTAGAATTTGCATGTTTTTGTTTTTTTAAAATAACTTCAGTGCTTTCAAGTTGTGAGTTATTTTTAAGTGAAATATTTTCAGTAATGGGCAATAATTTGTGTGCCAAAGGGAGACATGTTCTCACTGAAAATTATGCATAATGTGAACACTTATTGAACTTGTTCAGAAAAAATATCACCTTTAAAGACAAAAAAGAAGAAAGCCCTTATCTGGATAGTGTCAGTGCATAAGGAAAAAAAAAAAACACCAGTTCTTTCACCAAAACAAGTATTTATGGCTAGTAAAGCCAGAGATAGGTAGCCATACATGGTCAATTTACTGCTCTTTGTCAAGCAAAGCATCTGGCATATGTCTTACAGATAGTAGCTGTGCTCTGGAACAGAAAGTTGCTTTCATTTATTTTTTTCTTTTTCTGGGATAAAGGGGTTCATTTTAAACAGAAGTCAAAATCTCTCTTTAAAGCTTAAAAATAACCAGGAAGGTTTAGTGACTGTGAAAATGTGTTTGCTTTACACAATACTAAACAAAATAATTATTTTTAACAGCTACAGTATATAAACCCAAATTAAAAATCATGTACATTTTCCTAAAAATAAACCATGTACTTGCAACTGACATCATAATTAGGCAAGAGAAATTTTCTTAAAAACACAGTACTCTTCTTGTTAATAGGCAAGATGTTTAATATTATGGGAATAACTCTGTGAATCTCACAAATAAGAGGCAAGCCAAGCTCTTCATAAAGAAGATGAATTCCGGTAGTACATTTTATAAAGAGGAACACATAATTAGATAAAGGCAATTTCAGGTTTCTTTTAAAAGTTGTCACACCAAAACTGTTATTCCTAGAAGTTGACAGAAAGAAAACCTTCTTTCCAAGGAATGAATCCTTTCAAAATTAGGAAAACAGCAGCAACAAAAACAAACCAAACAGAAATCATTCTAATATGCTGGGTATGCAAACAACTAAGTACACTGACATGGAAAATAACTTCCCTTTTAAAAATATGTTGAACAATAAAGTTTCATAAAGAAATTAAAGATAGCCATATAGATATCCAGTGCAATCTGTACACATGGCTTTTTTTTTCTTGACCATACAAATGTCTTCCTATATAATATTAAGAGATTTGATGAGAGAAATTCACATGTAGAAGAGGGTAGGAACATTCAGAAACAAACTACTTTACAAAGAGAACGCCAATGTGGAAATGTAAACCTCTTATCTGCAAACTGACCAAATTTTCAAGAATGTTTGGGCCAGAGTGCAGGGACAATATTCATCAAAGCAATATTACTATCATGTATATCAGTTTTCAGAGCAATTCTGGGTTCCTTTTCCTAACTGGTTTAGCTACAGTCAGGAGATGAAGTTCAAACACCTGAAATATCTCATCTGGTGTGGATTAAGTAGTAAAGTACTTTTGAATGAGATATGAGGAAAATATAGAACAAAATTATATATGTTATAGTTCAACTATATGTTACAGTTGATTTTTTAATTACATAAATTAAGAATTTTAGTTGGAGTTTCACTATCAAACTCTCAAAAATTAATAGAATGAATTAAAAAATTAATAGAATGAATAGACAAAAAAGTAGAAAAATATAGTAGACTGGAAAAGCACAGTGAAGCAATTCAACATAATTAAGATTTATATAATTTTCAAACAACAGCAGGATACAAATTCTATTCAAGTTCCCATAGAGTATAAACCAGGAGACACTAGACTTTATCCAGGGACACAAAACAAGGTGCAAAACTTCATGGTCTAAAGGTATTGAAATCATAGAATCTGTTCTCTTTTCACTGTGAAATTATGTTAGAAATCAATATCAAAAGATATTAGGAAATGACCCTATTTTCAAGTGCATTGTGACATTTACCAAGAGAGATCTTTGACTTAGCCATTGAAAGTCTCAATAAAGTTGAAAGACTGAAAAAACACAGAGGGTGATTGCAGAGAAGAAAGCATTTAAATGAGAAATTAATATCAAAATGAGAAATTAATGTCAAAGATTTTTTAAAATCCCATGAATTTGGAAATTAAATGTCTGCTTTTAAATGATGGGTGTATCTAAGAAGTCATAACAAAGAAAATTAGAAAATATCCATAACAGTACAAAAATGAAAAGAAAAATAATTTTTAAATTTATTTTTTAAATTTATTTATTTTAATTTGAGGCTAATTGCTTTCCAATATTATAGTGTTTTTTGCCACACATTGACATGAATCAGCCAGAGGTGTACATGTGTTCCCCATTCTGAAAACCCTCCCACCTCCCTCTCCATCCCACTCCTGCACTGGGTCATCCCAGTGCACCAGCTCTGAGCACCCTGTCTCATGCATTGAACCTGGACGGGTGATCTATTTCATAGATGACAATATACATGTTTCAATGCTATTCTCTCAAATAATCCCACCTTCGCCTTCTCCCACAGAGTCCAAAAGTCTGTTCTTTACATCTGTGTCTCTTTTGCTGTCTCATATATAGGGTCATTGTTACTATCTTTCTAAATTCCATATATATGCACTAATATATATTGGTGTTTTTCTTACTGACTTACTTAATCTCAAAAATATACAAGCAGCTCCTGCAGCTCAATTCCAGAAAGAAAACATTTATCAAAATTTGTTCCATACAGCTGAAACTGTTCAGTGCAACTAAATGCAATGAGGAATCTTGAATAAGGCATGAAAACAAATAATGGATACTAGCATAAAATTTTGTGAAATTTGAACAAAATCTCTAGCTAATAATACTGTTTAACATGTAAATTTTGTTTTGTTTTGCTTTGATTTTTTACAACATAGTATTTCTTTATATTCTTAGAACTGGATTAGATGCTTCAAACATTGGGAAGACCCAGAGGGATCGGGTGGAGAGGGAGGTGGGAGGGGGGATCGGGAAGGGGAATACATGTATATCCATGGCTGATTCATGTCAATGCATGACAAAAAACACTACAATATTGTAAAGTAATTAGCCTCCAACTAATAAAAATAAATGGAAAAAATATTTTAAAATTACTAAAATAATAAGCTTTCTAGATTTTAGCAGTAATACTAGATGCCAGAATAAATGAAACTATATCAAAGTTTTGAGTGAATGCAAATTAGAAATCTAGCATTCTATTCATACTTCAGTCAAATGAAACCAAAATGTTATAAATTTTTTAGCTAAGCTTTTGCACACACACACATAGTGTGTATAATATTATATATTTTAGAACTTTGTTATGAATTTTATGAATTTTTTCTCAAAAAGTTCATTCTTTACCTGCTCAACTAGATATACCCTATAATCAAGAAAACTTATTATCTCCAGCTGCCCTCATTATCTTGGCCGATGGAGAGGCAAGTCATTGAATGCGTGAAGTTCTTAATCATCTGTACAAACACCAGGAAAAGAGTTGAAAATATTTTTCATTCTAAAAGTTGGGTCGTTATTTATGTGGAAGATAAAATAATCCATTGGATTCATGAAAATTGAAACCCACTGGGTTGAGTGAGGGAAGGTAACCGAATTAAGGGATTAAATATCAAAATAACAAGTCATTTAGCTTTACCTCATGAGTCTAATAAATACTCTTTGCATTGTAGCAACCACTGAAAATATGCCAGCCCACAAGTAATAAGACAATCTGTGCCTTACTTTTTAGCTTCACTGGAGACTATTTGGTAAATCATTAATTCCTATGAGCATCCATCTCCTACTCAGTAAAATTCTGGATTATATGACTTGGTTTATTTACCAATCTGGACTGTTGCAAATAATTTAAGATATGTCAGCTCATCTTTCTTAGTGCTTTTGTTGTTGTTGTTGTTTGTCTGTGACTTGCAGCTTCCAGGATCTTAGTTACCTGACCAGGGATTGAACCCAAACACCCTGCAGTGGAAGTGTGAAGTCTTAACCACTGGACTGTGAGGGAATTCCTATTTTTCTTAAATTCTAAAACATGCTAGAGTCGTAACATATTTATATATTTTTAGGATAATGAGACCTTTCCGTTTATCTATCATAGTCATATGGAATTTCTTAGGTTGCTCTCTGCTTTAGAATTTGGCTTTTTAATGAAGACCCTGAGCCACTGGGGAATGATTAAATTACATTTAGCATGTTCTATGCAACCAAACAGAGCAATGGGTGAAATATTTTAGATATACTGCTTTGGAAGTACTTGAAAAATACAGCTTTGAGGAATGACTATCTCCTTAGGAGTTCCAGATAGCTAAGGCTGTATTTTCACATTGGAATATTTCAGATAAATTCCTATGAAATACTCTTTATATATCAAATATCATACTTAAAACCAGTGTTAATAATGCCCTAAAATTGTATTAAGTGGGCTTCCCTGGTGGCTCAGACTGTAAAGAATCTGCCTGCAATGCAGGAGGCCCCACTTCAATCCCAGAGTCAGGAAGGTTCCCTGGAGAATGGAATGGCTACCCACTACAGTATTCTTATCTGGAGAATTTCATGAATTGAAATTGACTGGCAGGCTACAGCCCAGGGTGTCACACAGAGTCAGACACAACTGAGCAAATAATGCACATTTGCAATGTATTAAGGGGCTAAACCATTTGAAAAATACAAAAAAAAAAAATTCATAAATGCTCATTCTTCAAAAACCTGATTTTGAAAATGGAGTGAATCTATAAAATCATCAACAACTCAAATAGAAGACATTATTTCCAATGTCGAAACTTTTATTTTTTTTTTTATTTATTTACAAAGGATTGAGTTTTAGGCTAATATAATAACTTGAATATCTTTATCTTGGCCAGTAGAACTGTTAGCATTGTCCTTTTAATTCACTATTATTATTCACTTTTAAAATTCTTGTTCAGTCACAAAGTTGTATCCAATTGATTGAGACCCCATGGGATGTAGCACACCAAGCTCTTATGTCCACTACTATTTCCTGGAGTTTGCTCAGCTTTTTA